AGAGAGAGAGAGATCATAGCATGTTCTGAGCATCACAGCCCGTATGCGGAGGTCAGAGGACAGACAACCTTGAGGTGAGTCTTCACCTTGTGGGGACTGGGGACTGAACTCAGATTGTTTAGCCTGGAAGCACCCTTTACTCAATGAGGTAAATACTTCACAGGATTGGGTATTTCCCCAGTACGCCATCCCACTTTGTTTAGTATTTTCAGTATTGAGTCTCAGCATTGCCCTGGCTGTGGGCTCTTGAACAGCGGTGTCTACAGGGTATACCCAGTGCCTGGCTTTCACTATAATTTTTGTTTCACATGACAATTTTGTTTAACCTGACAATTAATGGTGTCACATTCCTTGTGCTGTGGCCTTTTACCCCTCGTGTGTGTGTGTGTGTGTGTGTGTGTGTGTGTGTGTGTGTATGTGTGTGTGTGTGTTTGTTTGTTTGTTCGAGGCAGGGTTTCTCTGTGTAGCTTTGCACCTTTCCTGGAACCCACTCTGTAGACCAGGCTGGCCTCGAACTCAGAGATCCACCTGGCTCTGCCTCCTGAGTGCTGGGTTTAAAGGCATGCACCTCTTAAATGCTCTTGGTCCCACGTGCTCACATCAGTGGCAGGTCTGTGGGGCTAGGATTTTCTTCTCTCCCTCTTCAGTCCTTTTCCCATTGTGCCTGGTGGGTACCAGAACCTGGTGGAGGTGGATTCCATATAGATATTGGTTGAATTGGAACTATGTGTATATAGTAAACATTGCTATCTGCTTTTTTTTTTTTTTTTTTTTTTGGGTTTTCGAGACAGGGTTTCTCTGTGCAGCTTTGCGCCTTTTCCTGGAACTCACTTGGTAGCCCAGGTTGGCCTCGAACTCACAGAGATCCACCTGGCTCTGCCTCCCGAGTGCTGGGATTAAAGGCGTGCGTCACCACCGCCCGGCTATGCTTTTTTTTTTTTCTTCGTATTTTTGTTCATTTTGGGAAAGGGTCTGGCTATGTATCCCCCCAGCTGTCCTGGAACTTGGCTCTCATCTCACTCAGCCCCTGAAGTTCTGGGACTGCAGTATGTCCTGCCATAAATCAGGCAACATTGGTGTCTTGAAACAGGTTGATAATTTGAGGCCTGACTATTGGGTCTCGAATGTGCTCAAAACACTTGACACACATTGACACTCCTTCCCCTCCACCCCTAGACAGAGTTTCTCTGTGTAGCTTTGGAGCCTGTCCTGGATCTCGCTCTGTAGACCAGGCTGGCCTCCCTCGAACTCACAGAGATCTACCTGGCTCTGCCTCCCAAGATGCTGGGATTAAAGGCGTGCGCCCCCACCGCCCGGCCTGACACACATTTACTCTTGCACAGTTCACTGCAAGACGCTGCCTCCAGCTGTTGAAATAACCCACTGGGACTCCGAGAGGCCAGATGCCTTGCCTGGGGCTGTGGTTGATGTGGAATCAGGATGTGTGCGGGAGGTCTGTTCGTTTTATCCACCATCTCTCTGAGCTGGGGTGATAGGCAGAGTAGGAGGGCTGGAGCAGCAGAACTGCAGCAGCAGCCTGCTGGAGGGACCGTCACTGAAGGACATGCGATGGAATCCTAAATTCCTTTTCGGGTATAAAAATACTTAACCTTGTTGCATTGAACTTGTGTGTGTGTGCATGCTTTTGTATAGAGGACAGAGGTCCACAGGGTTGTCTTCCTCACTCTTCCTTGGACTGGCTGGCCAGCAAGTCCAAGGGAATCCTCTTAATTAATGCCTGCCTCTCCAGTGCTAAGATTACAGCCCTCACTGCAAGTGACTTTTTACTTACTAAAAAAAGAAAAAATCCGGTGTGGGGGTGGGGTGGTAGGCTGGTACTCAGGATTCACTCTGGAGCCTCAAGCAGACAGATGAACGTTCTTCTGAGAACACCTGCATCACCAGGCCTCCGCGGCCTTGATACCAGATTTTTTTTTTAAATAATTTATTTATTTTATGTGCATTGATGTCTTGCCTGCATGGACATCTGTGTGAGGGTGTAGGATCCTCTAGAACTGGAGTTATAGATAATTGTGAGCTGCCATGTGGGTGCTGGGAATTGAACCCGGGTCCTCCGGAAGAGCAGCCAGTGCTCTTCACCGCTGAGCCATCTCTCCAGCCCCTTGATACCAGATTTTCCTTGGCTTATTTTTTCAGTTTTTCTCTGTGTATGTAGCCCTGGCCTGCCTCTGCCTCCCGAGTGCTGGGATTAAAGGCGTGCGCCACCACCGCCCGGCCACCAACTGTCTTTTAAGGTGGTCTGTGGCAAAATAGCCCGGGTTTATTTTCTTTTCGGTTTTTTGAGACAGGGTTTCTCTGTAGGTTTGGAGCTTGTCCTGGACTAGTTCTGTAGACCAGGCTGGCCTCGAACTCACAGAGATCCGCCTGCCTCTGCCTCCCGAGTGCTGGGATTACAGGCGTGCGCCACCACCTCCCGGAGGGTTTATTTTCTTATTGAGGCAACCCCTTAAGCTCCTGACACCTACAAGCTATCCCTAAAGGCTTTGCATTGCAAAGTCCTACACAATCAGCCTTCCTGGTTCAGAAATGGAGCAAGCACAGAAGCTTTTTTGGGTGGAGTAAGAATGTCAAAGGCCTTCCTTTGTGTTTTGATGTTTCGAGACAGGGTTTCTCTGTGTAGTTTTGGTGCCTGTCCTGGATCTTGCTCTGTAGACCAGGCTGGCCTCGAACTCACAGAGATCCGCCTGGCTCTGTCTCCCAAGTGCGATTAAAGGCGTGTGCCACCACCACTACCACCGTCATTAAAAACTGAAACAGTTTATCTGTGTAGCCCAGGTTGACCAACTAACCTCAGGTTCATGAGTGCTTTTAATTATTTTATTTCAATATAAATTCCTATTGTTTGTGTATGTCTGAGTCTGAGTGTATGTCACCTGTGTTGGGGTGCCTGGAGGTCGGAAGAGGAGGGAGGTCAGATCCCCTGGAGCTGTGTAACAGGCCAGTTGGTGGAGAGCAGCCTACAGTAGATGCAGGAAACCAAACTCAGGTCCAAGAGCAGCAAGCCATTCTCCAGCCCCTATTTGTATATCATAGTACGTACTTGGATAACAGAAAACTTTAATCATTGACGTCCTGCTATAGTGTATTTCTAGACCTGGGGAAGAGTTGGGGGGTTCCACTATAAATGTAGGCTCAACATTATTATATATATTGGGGGGCATTCTTTAGAAACAAGGTCTCACCGGCGGTGGTAGCACACACTTTTAATCTCAGCGCTTGGAGGCAGAGGCAGGAGGAGCTCTGTGAGTTCGAGGCCAGCCTGGTCTATCTACAAAGCAAGTTCCAGGACAGATAGGACTGTTACACAGAGAAACCCTGTCTCAGAAAAAAAGAAACAAGGTCTCATTTAACCCAGGTCAGCCTCTCCGTTCACTATGTAGCAAAGGATGGCCTCAAATTTGCAAGCCTCTGACTTCCTGAAGGTTGACTACAGGTCTGAGCCAACTGTCCAGGCTTATTTCTGCTTTTCACACATTTTTCCCCCTCTTCTTGGGAAATAATCCTTTTTCTGGGGGTGTGGGGGCATATTGAGACTAGATCATACCATGAGGCTAGGCTACGTCTGGCCTGGAACTTGCTACGTAGACCAGGCTGGCCTCCTAGCTCAAGTCATGGGATTAAAAGCGTGAGCTATCACAATTGGCCCAGCACAAAACTGCAATTTTTTTTTTTGTTTTGTTTCTCTGTGTAGCCCTGGGATCAAAGGCATGGGCCTTTGATTGCCAAAACTGCAATTCTTTACCTGAATTATACGGTATCAAAAATCCACCATTTCAAAGATCGCCAAGGTGTTGAGCACGTATCAGTGGTTCAGCGTACTTTCTGGAGTGAATGTCCAAGAGAACAGTCTACTTAGTGAGTTTGGACCAAGCTGAAGCTATGTGAGATCATAAAAGGAAGGAGGCTGGGGCTAACTTGCGAGGATGTAGACAGGCCTATCGAGGTCTTCCTAGAACCACGCTAAGTGAGCAAACACAATCCCACATTGACTGAGCTGTGCTCCATCTACTGCCTTTATTATGTGTGCATGTGTGGACATGTTCACGATGCTTGCGCAGGTCAGGTCAGAGAACAACTTGTGGGAGTGGGTTCTTTTCTACCAGGTGGGTCCTAGCTAACTCAGATTCTCAGGCTGGGTGGTGTGTGGCCATCTCACTGACCCCTAATTTATATATTTTACCAGACTTGACTTCCATGGGAACAGCGAGTTTTAGTGACTGACGTAGGTTCTGGGTTTTCTCCTTCTGGACTGCCTTACTTCCCAAGTGCTGGAACCACAAGGGTGTGCCGCCACACCTGGCTCCTAAAGCAAATGTAGGACTCACACTTTTACCTTTCTACAGCATCCACTTGATATGGCATGGTTCTCTGAAATCTTTATTTAATATTCATTTATTGTATATGTAATGTATGTATGTGAATGTGCCGTGGCATTAATGTAGACGTCAAGATGGATTTGTCTCTGTGTCATCTGGCTTGGCAGAAAGTGCCTTTAACCACGGAGCCATCTTCCCATCCTAGAATGGTTCTCGGGGTTAAATGATTTTTTTTTTTCTTTTGGTTTTTGGAGACAGTTTCTCTGTCACAGCCTTGACTGTCCTGGAACTTGCTCTGTAGACCACGCTGGCCTCGAACTCAGAGAGATCCAGCTTCCTGTTGCTGGGATTAAAGGCATATGCCACCACCACCCGACTGGTTAAATAATCTTTAATTATGCATGCCTGTGTGTATGTGTTCAGGTGAGTGTAGAGGTCATTGGACTCCAAGAGTTAGAGAGTTGGAGTGGGAGATTGGGAGCCACCCGCCATGGGTGCTGGGAACTGAATCCACATCCTGTAAAGAACAGCATGCTTTTTTTTTTTTTTTTTGTGGACAGACACTGTTGAAACATTTATTTTTTTATTTTATTTTTCTATCGTACAAATTCTTATCCTAATAGTAAAATGTTTCACTGACAGCATACACTCTTAAACACTGAGTCGGACAATGGTTCTCTTGAATGCCTTCTATTGATTTCTGATTTATCCTATTAAAACTCACTGTTATCTAAGCTCTGAAGTGAACTGTCAGATCTTCAAGGTGTAGGCACCGGAACAGATTGCTATGGGAATAGACACCCTAACTCTGAGCCTCTGTGTACCCCCATCCTACATCCTACTGGTTTGATACTGGAAGTCCATATAGCTCAGGGCACTTTCATGAACTACCTATTTGACTCGGACAAGCTTTGCCTTTATTATCTAATTTTTCAGAACACTGCATGCTTCCACTTTCTCTTAAGTCACCAAGTGCAGCGTTGTGTGGGTTCACAAGTACCACATCTAGCATGGGGCATCACAGTTAATACATTCGTTTGAAATATATAATCATAATCATGTGTCGTGATGACTATATTAAATACTGAGCACTCAATGGGAAGGATACTGCTTTCTACAAGTCATTCATACGTGCAAAGGGTACCGTCCCTGGGAGAGTCATTCATATGTGCAAAGGGTAACATCCCTGGGAGAAAGGCATGGCACTCCAGTAAGGGAGGGGCTGTCCTGAGTGACTGGTTGATGGGATTGCGCAGTGGTGTGGCGGATGGCAGAATGCTCTGGCAGTTCCTTGAAAAAACATAGGCCCCTTGAGGGTCAAAGAAAGGCTGTCGAGCCTGCCCTAAATTTCATCTCTGGGACCACTAATAGTGCAAGGAGGCAATGGACTCCAATACTAATCCTTTGAACTCCATGCTATGGAGTGTGTACCCACCCAAACACATGCGTGCAAATAGATGCTTGGTAATGTGAAGGAAAAGGGAATTGTGGTGTCCTTCAAGGTTCAACTAAATGAGGAGTAAGTGCTGTCTACCAGCTCTCCAACCTGGCTGTATGTGACCGTGTATTTTCACCTGCTTCATGGCTGCTTTGACTTCTCACAGAGCCCCCACCCCCCAAACAAGGTCTCACGAAGTAGCTCTTGCTGTCCTGGAACTCACTATGGAGATGAGGCTGGCCTTGAAGTCACAGACATCTGCCTGGGATTGATGATAGGTGTGTGCCACTACATCCCGTTCCTCAGAGGTTCTTAGTGTGAGCTTGCTGTGTGGTTGCACTGGAGTTATGGTTAGGTCAGAATCCCTTTGTTTATGGTTTAATAAAAAACTGAACAGCCTACACGTACTGGGTTGAGTGGAGTTGAGTGCACCTTTCTTCCTGCTTCTTTGTTTTCCCTTTTTTTTTCCCTTTTTTGAGATAGGCTCGTGCTATATACAGCTATGGCTGACCTGGTATTTGCTATGTGTCCCAGCCTGACCTTGAACTCTTGGTAGTGCTCCTGCCTCAGTTTCCCCTGGATGCTTCGATTGTAGGCGTGGACATGTTTTTGTTGTTGTTGCATGGTTGTTTATCTGAAGACAGGGTCTCACTCTAGCTGCAGCTCCTGTCTCAGCCTCCAGAGTGGTAGAGTTAGTCGAAAGTGTTGTCACCATGTCTAACTTCAATAGGTTTTCTTTTTCTCCCCGTCTGTGAATTAGTTAAAAAAAAAAAAAATCTGTGGATGGCAGGGCAGTTTGGGGGGAAATGATGTAAAGTGGGGAATCTGGCAACAGGGGAGTATGGATAGCCCATTAGTAGAGCGTTTGTTTAGCATGCCTGAGTCCCTAGGTTCAAGCCACAGGAGTAATAAATAGATAACTAAATAAATGGGAAAACAAGGAAAGCCCGCTTTCGTGGCAGCCTCGGAGCCTCCGAGGGGAGGGTGATGAAACGCAGGCCTTCCGGCCCTCACTCAGTTCCGAGTTTCTGCTTGTGGGAATCTGTTCCGAATCCAAGTGCAAGTGGAAAACCCATTTTTGGCCCCGGGGCCAGGCAAGCCATCCTATCCTGCCAATCCTGCAAATGTACTGCAGAAACTTGGGCCCCAGGAGGCAGGAGCTTGGGCTTGCTTCCCAAGATCTGTGCAGCTGTCAAGGTGGCTGGGATGTGACTGAGATCTGTCCCCTGTACGGCTTTTTTGGCAGTGACCTTGGGATCAGCCCAGCTTGCCACAGCCACTCTGGTCCCCTGCCACTAGAGTCTGTTAAAAGAAGCGCAAGGGAGCTAACAGAAGGGAGACTGCTCTCGGGTCCTGCCTTTCCTGGTGTCTGGCAGGTGTCGCGTGGTGCCAGCTCCCAATGGCTACCACCCACCGAGCATGGGTGCAGTCCAGGTGTGTGTGTGTGTGTGTGTGTGTGTGTCTGTGTGTGTGTGTGTCTCGCAGAGGGGGTGAGGGAGTTGGTGGCGTGTTCACCGCTGGCTCAGGTTCAGCGTCTGGGGAAGTGGGTGGTTGATTAGTATGGTGTGCAGGCAGGCTCCACCTGGGAACCAAGTTGGCGGCTGAGAAGGGAGGCTTGGTTGCAATTGATCTTGGGAGGAGAGGAGCCAGAAACGCCCCCTTTCCCCCCAAAGGTTCCGGTTGGAGTCTGCCGCGGATTTCTTTGGACACTGAAGGTCACCCGGCTTACATACAAGTCTTCCATCTCTGTAGTCACCGAGAGAGTGTGACAAGTGTATTTTGAAAATACACCGCCACCCCCTCTCCTGTCCACATCCTGTCCTGTTTCTCTTCTAAGTGGCTGCATTATTTTTTTTTTTTTTTGTAATCCGACTTTGTCGTTGGACATTTATTGACAGAAATCAAACCGTGGTTTCTGGGCCAAGCTCCGGCTGCACCGAGGGGTGGTTCCCAGGAATGGGACAAGCAGCCCAACAGCTGAGCCTGAGCTGTCCTCGCTTAACCTCCCTGCCTTCGATATCGCCAATATTTAGTCTTGCCTTATAAAGTCAAAATGCACAGTACCTTCCAGGGTTGCTGTGAGCCCCGATGCCCCCTTAGGCTATCTCCTGCCGGGTGGTAGAGAGCAGCGCGCCCCTCCCTGCGCCAACCTGTCCTGGTGCCACCCAGAGGTTCCTGCTCAGGGAGACTCCGCCATCGATCTGATGGTGGCGACCTGGGGGATTTGCGAACATTGTCTCTTGCAGAAGCCTCCTGTGATTTCGGTGGCGGTGACCAGATCCTCTGCAGAGAACTCCATGTCGCAGCTTGTGGCTGCCTGTGTCCTGTGGTGAGAGCCCAGCCTCACAGGAGATCCTTTGTCTGGGATAGTGCTAGGCTGCGAAGATCACTTTGGAGTCTCTAAGCTCTGCCTTGCCATTGGCTGCACTCTTTGTGGGGCTGTTTTTTTTGCAAAAGGCATGCCCAGCACGTCTACAGTGCTGGCAGGCCAGGGCTGCCTTTAAACACCATGATAATGATACCAAAAGCAGTTTGCAGAACTGCTGCTCTCTGTGGAGGCTTCCTCTGCAGAAGCAGGCAAGATGGCTACCTCGTGGGCTTCGCCGTGAAGAATGCAGAGGCTAATTAAGAAAGACTTTTAGGGGGAAAGGGGGCATTTCCCTCCATCTTTATTTATGCAAGGTTGTTGGTTGTTTTTCTTTCCAGTGACTTTTAAAGTATGCATTTTACATGAGCTCTTCAGGGACTGACTGGCTAATATGTTGATGGTATTAAATGATATATAAGTAGTTTTTACAGAGAAGTAGCAAAAATAGTTTTTTTTGGGGGGAAGGGTGGGAGCTGATATATATATATATATTTTTAATGGAGGCTCATATTTCAATTTTACTTTTTTTTTTTTTTTTAAATTTTAGGTTACAAAAGAAAACAAGAGGCCCCAGAGGGAAAAGAAGTCCAAAGTTTCCAAGGTAATCAGCTGTTGATTAAATGATATTATCTTTTTCCATTTCATATGGCGTTTTTCTGTCACCTGAGGGTGAAATTTGCAGTGCAGTGGATTCTCCCAGGTTGTCAGTGGGTCCATGAATTTTTCGCTCAGCCAAAGTCTCTCTCTCTCCCTCCCTGCCTCCTGCTAGGTCCACATGAGCATCCTTTATTTTCAGTGTCTTACACAAGTCTTGCACGGAAGGAAAACTTTATATGCAAAGTGTTGAGTAATTCCTTCTCCTCTCCAGCCCCCCGACTGCCACCTGCGTCTGTGGCTTTACCCCCGGTGGACGTCAGCTCCACAGTAGAGAAGTTGATGGCTATGACTCATTGTGATTTTTTTGTTTTTAAACACACAGAAAATACTATTGTAAAATCTGATATTTTTTTTTCCCCCCAAAGTGGGGGAAGGTGAATGTCCTAGGTTTGAATTCAACTTTACATGCATGGAGACCTTACAGCTACACTGTAATTGCTCAATATCAAGTGTTCACTATGTCTTCCTTAGTTGTTGTTGTTGGTGGTGGTTTTTTTTTTGGCTGCCATAGATTTTTAAGGAATCAGCATCGTATAGATTGCATGCTGATACAGATTGCATGCTGAGAGTTCAGCAGTAACCTGATTTGGTTGTTAGCTCGGGATCCATTTGCAGCTTAGTTACGGTATTCGGAAGAGTTAATTTAAAAGCCCGTGGTCTCCCTAGAAGTTCAAGGCTAGGGCTAGCCTTAGCCTAGCAAATTGCTTACAGGTTTAAGATTTAAAATGCTGTACAGCAAATCCTATTAATGTAAGCAAGCCTTTTAATTGTGGAGGAAATAGTAAGCAATAAAACCACCGGTCTATAGAATTGTTCTGTATGTTTACTGTAAAGGGACTTAGGTATAATCAGAGCTTTGTGTTTGCGAATAAAGTTTTGGCCCTCCAGCATGCTGAACTGTGGCAGATTCCCATTTCACTTGCTGCTGCCTGTTGTATCTACTGGAAATGCTGGCACTGACAGCCAGCCATCACCTTGCTCACTGGTTTTACTGACCACCTTGAGGTTTCTGTTTCCTGTGTGCACACAGAAAGGGCATGAACATTATTCATCAAATAAGAAGTGCTTACTAGAAATTGACCACAGAGTCAGCAAAGTGTGGTAGGCTCTGTGAAATGAGTGTAACTCATTTCATGAGGCCTGGACAAATCAAGTGGGGGATGGTGTGTAGGTGTATAAACCATCTTTTTCTTCATGTGAGCTATCCACCCACAACCTGTTATACCTCCCAATTATAGATTAGACTATCAATGACTTTAAATCCGTCTATTGCCTGTTTTGTGTGTGTCCGTTTCAGGTATTAGATTGTTCAAGTGAGAATGTTATTGGGTTGTGGTGATGCACACCTGTAATCCTAGCACTTTGGAGGTAGAAGCAGAAGGATTAGGCATTCAGGGGCAGCCTCACTTACATAGTGAGTTTGAGTCTAGCCTGGGTTACTTGACTCCCCACCCACCCCAGACAGGGTTTCTCTGTATAACAGCCCTTGCTGTCCTGGAGCTTTGTCTAGACTAATCTGGTCTTGAACTCAGAGATCTGCTTGCCTCTGCCTCCCCAGTGCTGGGGTCCTGTCTTAAAACCACAAAGAAGCAATTTCAGTGTTTCTGTTGTAAATGGCTTTTAAATGGTAGGGGTGTGTGTGTGTGTGCGTGCGTGCATGCGTGTGTGAAGCAGACTATATGTAGAACTAATTGTGGTCCCTAAGTTCCATCCTTGTTAGGACACAAAATAGGCTGGGGTAGGGGTCATTTAATTAATTCTATGTTAGTCTGTGCATGTCTGTTACCTGTTAGAAGTAAATGCAGCATATGTTTCTTTGAGGACTCATGCAGTAGACTGTGACCTTTTTACTTTTTATTTTTTTGGGACCCTTTTATTTTTTAAAGTGTCTATGGATGGCCTAATTTCTTCTGCTCTGGGAAGAAGGATTGAATCCTTGCTTATCAGCCACCCATAGTTGGTGTCTATTGAAGAATAGTAAGGAATTGACATAAAAAATATTGTTTGTAGCCGGGCGGTGGTGGCGCACGCCTTTAATCCCAGCACTTGGGAGGCAGAGGCAGGCGGATCTTTGTGAGTTCAAGGCCAGCCTGGTCTAGATGAGCGAGATCCAGGAAAGGCGCAAAGCTGCACAGAGAAACCCTGTCTCGAAAAACCTAAAAAAAAATATATATATTGTTTGTTTGTTTGTTTAACCCAGAGTGAAAATATTTCTTTGGGGGATTGGGTGGCTTGGAACAGTGTTTATCTCTGTAGACCAGGCTGGCCTCAGATCTATCTGCTTCTGCCTCCCAAGTGCTGGGACTAAAGGTGTGCACCATCACCACCTGGCTGAAAATGTTACTTTGAATTTTTTGTGTATTTCTGTGTATGTGCAAATGAGTGTGGGTAACCATGGAGTCCAGAAGAGGGCATCGCTGAGTCACTTGACATGGGTGAAAAAGTTAAGTGCCCTTAACTGCTGAGCCATCTCTTCAGGCTTTTACTATTCTTTTTATTGTTTTTCTTCTTAAAATTTTTTCTTTGCTTTAAGACAGGATTTCACCATGTAGCACAAGGTGGCATGGAAGTTGCTATGTTGTCCACACCTCAAACTCCAGATCTTCTTGCCTCAGACTTCTGAATGCTAGAATTTCCACCATGAGCCAATATTTCTGGCTAACCTGAATGCATTTAATGTTGGGGTTTAAAAAGTTGTTTTTGTTTTTGTTTCCTTTCTTTCTGGAGACTCATTTTTCTCTGTAGCCCTAGCTGTCCTAGAACTTGCTCTGTAGACCAGGAACTCACAGAGATCTACCTGCCTCTGCCTCCTGAGTGTTGGGATTAAAGGTATGAGCCATTACAACTCAGCTTTTTTTTTTTTTTTGGTTTTTCGAGACAGGGTTTCTCTGTATAGCTTTGCGCCTCTCCTGGAACTCACTTGGTAGCCCAGGCTGGCCTCGAACTCACAGAGATCCGCCTGGCTCTGCCTCCCGAGTGCTGGGATTAAAGGCGTGCGCCACCACCGCCCGGCTTTTTTTTTTTTTTTTAAGATATTTGGGCCTGGAGAGATGGCTAAGGGTTAAGAGCACTGGCTGCTCTTCCAGAGGACCCGGGTTCAATTCTCAGTACCCCACAGCTTACAACTGTCTGTAACTCCACTTTCAGAGGATCTGACACCTTCATACCAATGCACGTAAAATAAAGTTAAAAAATTAAGGGGTCGGGTGGTGGTGGCAGCGGCACACGCCTTTAATCCCAGCACTCGGGAGGCAGAGGCAGGTGGATCTCTGAATTTGAGGCCAGCCTGGTCTACAGAGTGAGTTCCAGGATAGACTCCAAAGCTACACAGAGAAAAACAAAAAACAAACAAACAAAATTATTAAGAAAAAAAAGACATTTGTAAGTATCTAGTACAGTGAATTTTGATCCTATTTACTTTTTTAGTGTCCTGTCCTGTGTATATGTATACACACAGATGGAAATAAAAATCTTAAAAAGAGATTTTTGTTTCTCTGCATCTTAGTAGAAGAAATTCAGATTTTTAACTATGGATGTGTTAGAGTTCAACTAGAGGAAACAGCCTTGTAGCTCGGGCGTTCTTCGGCATGTGATGCAGGATTTAGGGATAGTGTATCCCAAAGGTTCTATTTGACTGGCCTCTCTATCTGGGGGCTCAGTGACAGGACTCTGCAGGTGGGGTTGGTCACCTGTTGCTTTTGCAGAGGTGACATTTTGCCAAAGTCCTGTTTCCCTTGGCTTTACTCTTGACTCCTTAGACCTTCAAATATCCCAGGTCCCCTGCCATAATGGGTGGGGCAAATGACTGATTTTTAGGTCCCCCCACCCATTATCACCTATCTGTCTAGGAGGCAGTTGCACGTGGAACCTGGTGATGGAGGAAATTGAAATTTAAGTGTGCATTACATCCTGCCCTGAACATGGTAACTCGAGTCCAGTTGCTGGGCTAAATTTGCATTATGTCATATCTCCTTTTTTTTTTTTTTTGAGACAAAGCCTCACTATGTAGACTGGCTGGCTTGGAGCTCACAAAGATCTGCCTGCCTCTGCTTCCCAAGTGCTGGGAGTAAAGGCATGAGCTGCCATGCCTGGCCTCTTTAATTCTTTGTTAAAAAACTTTTATCTAATTGGGTTCCATTACTTATGTAAATTGATCTTTGAAAATGTTTATTGGCTTGGGGTTGGGGATTTAGCACAGTAGTAGAGCGCTTGCTAGGCAAGCGCAAGACCCTGGGTTCGGTCCTCAGCTCCAGGAAAAAAAAATGTTTATTGATATATTAATTGTGCATAATACATTATGATTCTCCATTATATGTACGTGTGCATGGCATGCATCTGCAGAGACCAGAAGTCACTGTCTAGTGTCTTTCTCAATTCCTCTCCAGTTTACTTTCCAGACAAGGTCTCTCACTGACCCTCAGCCAAACCCCTGGCATCCTCCTGTCCTAGCTCCACCTCTGAGCACCTGGGAGGGACTTTTCAAGTGGTGTTGGGGACTTGAATTCAGGTCTTCATGCTCAGTAAGACTTGCTGACTGGGCCATCTCCCCAGGACCTCCTTATGACATTTCATATATGTACAAACTGTATTTTGATCACATTCATCCTCTCATTACTCTTTCTTGGGTCCTTCCTACTCCTAAGTCGCTTCCCTTTCAGGCAGTGTTTCACTACGTAGCCTTGGCTGGCCTAGAACTTCCTATATAGACTAGGTTGGTCCAAAACTCAGAGATCCTCCTGTTTCTTCTTCATGAGTGCTGAGATTAAGGGCATGTGTCTCCGTGTGCATGTGCCTATGGAGGTGAAAAGAGGAATTAGATCCCATGGAACTTTAGTTGCAGATGTTTGTGAGCCATCATGGGGGTGCTGGGGTTGGGCCTTGGTCCTCTGCAACAGCAACAGCTGATCTTGGGGGCCGTTTGTCTAGCCCCATCTCCCCAATATC